CATTTCCCCCCCGCCGGGCCGAAACGGCTCCTTCCCGCCCGGGGGCCCCGGGCACAGCGAACACGGTGTCCCGGGGCCTCAAGCACACACGTCGGAGCTCCGTGGGGGTTTTATTCCCCACCTCCACCGTCCCACCATTACGGCTTTTAATGTAAACCGAGGCGCTCCCCCCTCCAGAGGGTCCCCTCTCACAGCCCCCCTCAGGCCGGCCCCTGCCAGAGATAAAGCTTTCAGCATTTCCAAGCAAACCGCGTTTTTCTTCCCTTTTTCTTCCATTCACCCATTTTTTTAATAGCTCTCCCCCCCCATTTGGCCCGTAGTATCAGCGCTAAAGATGTTTCTCTCTCTTTCCCACTCCTCCCCCCCGAGATCCACCTCGGAGACATCCCTCCTCTCTCCTCTCACGCCCTCCGCAACCTTTCTCCTGTGTTTGGGCTCCTCTCCACGCTGATGACAAGCTCGGCCGGGTAGGGAGCGCTCCCGGGCTCGACCTGCGCCCTTTGCCGCGTGGAAAACACCACGACCAAGAAAACTTTTAACAGAAAGGAAATACACGGCAAATTAGAGCACCGGTATGAAACGGCGAGCAGCAGGCGCTCTGTCACCACACCTGCTGGACACGGAAAATCTCCGCATGCACGGATTTGCCTCTCTCCAGTCGGGCACGGCTCTCAACAGAAATACGTCCTTGCTGATGCCTTGCTGTGACTGCCCAGCACCCACGCTATACATAAACAGAGCTTTAGGGAGAAGCGTCTGTCTCAGCTCTACATGTATTCGAACAATGGATGAACGGCATGAAGCAGGCTGTAATAACAGACCAGAAGCTGAATACTAGGTGCATTACCTAATCCTAAAATCTTGTTGCCAACACAAAGGGCAAATAAATAAGATGTGAACCAAGCGCTCTTCTTTTCAAATGCCAAGGAATAATATTTATATACTAGAAGTCCATGAACCTTCCAGGCTACCCTCATTGCCGGAATTAAAGCTAATGCCCACCGCAGAAGTGAAAAGGGTTTAATCAAAGCGCGGGGGATTGTCAGCTCGGCTCCACTGCCGGGGAGGGTAGATACCACTGCGTGGTCTCCCGGAGCTAAAGGATTCATGCAGCACCCCATGACGGGGAGCTCACATCAGTCTTTCCTACCACATACCAACAGACCAACATAACTATCTTTTTAGCTAGCCCCCAATCATACAGTACACTTTCCTGCTCTCCTTTAATCAACCCTTACCTTGATATGCTTCTTCCAACTCAGGAGGCTGGATTTGGAAACAGTCTGGAAAACAGGCCTCTGCAAAGTCGAGACCAGCTACAACATCACTAAGGCACACAGGACAATACCTTGCTTTAAGTTATGTTCAGAAGCCTGTCACTCCACAACATAGAGCTTTTTCCTCCTGGGAACCAAGCGAATGTGAATCAGGAAGTCAGGAGACTGATAGTCTGATGAATTTGTTTCTAAGAAGTACAATGCAAAGGGGGGAAGCGTGGGATGAAATCATTTGCTAGATGATACTTGACACAGACATAAAGAACACACACACTTCCTCTCTTGGTTTCCTTTTGGGAAAGGCTTGAAAGAAGAGACAGAGGGGGGTGCCAGACATGCAACCATGACTGTCTGTAATACTGCTGCAGCATGCAATAGCACTGGTCAGCGTTAAGGGAATCTTCCCTGCAGTAAATCCCCTTTTAACTCACTGGTTTTCAAATAGTGTGCCTTGAAAGAGGAAGGTTCCCAGGAGAGCTTCTGTTCCATGACAGGCCTGGCACTCGCATATTAGGCCTTGATGCTCTTTTATTACTTTAATTATATCTTATTGTGCATGACAAAATAATGACAATAACAGCCAGAGGAAAACCTAAATATATACATACAAATATATATATATATATATATATACACACACACAGACAGAGAGCGAAAGAGGAACTAGAAAGTAACATACCTCTGCTGCAGTAAATTGTCATCAAAGTCAGTGGAGTGACACTGATCACCGTTTGCCAAAGAATTTGCTCAGTATTGTCAAAAGCAGCTTCACAAAAAAAACTACATCGATAGCAAAGAGGAAGCATAAAACCCTTATACCATATTGTTCAGTAGATTAACTCTTGCTCATAACGGGCTGCATTCCCATTTCACTGTTTAATGCAACAATTAGAAAGAAAAAGCACTAATAAAACAATTCAAAAGCAGACTCTGGTACCATAAGTGCTTCTCTTCTGTGCGAATGCTGGTTTTAGTTGGGAGCTGATTGTATACTTATGTTAATAGGCATCTATATTTATGAGACCTCTGCTTCCTGGGCAGTTTCACAACGTGAAATCCAAAAAAAAAACCAATATGCAATTACACTGTGCAATATCAATTAAAATATTTTTTTCCCCCTTGGTAGCTATAAGGTCCTCAGCCTCAATTTATAGTTAGTACAGTCATACCTACATAGATGTTAGGAGTGGAAAATGCATATTTAGCTAACCAGTCTACGTCTCCCGGGCAAGGTAGCAATGTTCCCACAGAATATACCTCACAGTCCTGAACAGAGCTAAGTGACTCAAATAAGGAGGACCCTTAACTGAACAATGTTGAGTCCTATGAGCAGTAACCCCTTTCTTTGCTTTAAAGAAAAGGATGGCACAGGAAAGGAGAGATCCTCAGAGGTACTTTATATGGGTCTCCTCAAAAGGCATGCTTATGGAAAAAGGTTTTACTGAGGTTGTTTTGAAAAGACCTGAGTTTTCCAACCTCATACCAGTAGCTCACCCGAGGACCTGTTGCCATCTGCTGGCAAATCCTTGTATCAGCTCATCTAAAACTTGTCCTAGGGACATTTTAACGAGGTCCTGCCCACGTCCCCACCCACCCCGCTTTTGAAACAAGTATTTCAAACCAGTGTCAGATTCTGGAGCTTTGGGGAGCTCTAGGTTGCTGCAGTCTGACCACTTCAGGGTTCAGTTTGATCAGGATTTGCCCTGCTACAGGCTCAGTGCAAACAAGAGGTAGGAAGTAAGCCAAGACTGATGACGTTTTTACTCCCTGATGCCAGCTGTCTATCACGCTGCCTTGCCTCAGATAGCTAGTATACTTCAAACTTTAACCTGAGTATGAACAAACAGGGAACGTAACCAGAGAGATTTTTTTTGTTTGATGAAAATTTCACATCATAACATTTTTAATAGGATACTCAACCATTAGAGGAACTTACCGGAGTGCAATGAATCCTCTGCAGACCCTGTCAAGACTGGAGAGCTTCATAAAATTGTGTGCTGTAGCTCAGATGTGATTTAGCTGAGCTTCTCTGACCTCCATGATATAAATTTAGTGGATGAAGAATTTTCTGACCTTAACTCTATTCCTAGTTCTGTGATTTGTAATTTGAAAAGGTATAGACTGTGGAACTGAAAGCCTCTAGTGTTTTGCTCCTTACAGGTGATCGATTAACTGGTGATGGAATGCACCAGTATCTTGCACTATTCTTTAGACTTACCATAAATTGATATGGAAACTATCTATTGTATGGACAAAAAAACCCACAGCTACTTTTGGAAGGCAACAGCCACCATAAACCTTGCACAACTGGAGAAGAAACGCAGGAAAAATGATTCCCAAGGGTAACAAAGAAGAAAGCTCATTTCCCAAATGTGCACACAAATTTGTGACTCTGGAAGAACGCATAGGACTTTGGCTGTCATTAGCCTGGTTTCCAATGAAAGTAAGCGCAGCCGATGTTACCATGTCCTCTGCATATGTATGTATATAGCAGGTTGCAAGTTCAAACCCTCCAACAGGATGCATATACTAGGCCTGTCATGTTATGAGCTTTTGTCTGCACGTCTTTAGATCAGCTGAGCACCGCATACACTGCAGACCTCATGCATGCTTGGTGCCCGTGACTTTTGCTGTGAGAAGAGCTGAGCAGGGCTCAGTCATGCCAGTAAGATGCTTAGACCAACTCCCCATCCCTCCGGCCCCCAGCCAGGCACTCCAGAAAGCAAAGAGTTGGGAGGGTGTGAAGTCAAGCAGCTGGAAGATGAAGTGAATCTGTTTGTTTCAACCAGCAGCTTGTCAGCCGTTTTCACTTTGTAATGCAGGAATTCATCATAGCTAAACCACAGGCCGTCGAGCCAAAAGCCTACCCCCCACCTCCAAATCACCAAGTCTTACTAACTCATACATTCATCATGTTTAACGACATGGACAGCAAACCCTCATTGAAAGAGGGGGCTCTTACTACCATTTGACTTTGTAGGATAAAGCAGCAGCTGCTGACATCCCGGCACTGACTTTCTCTGCCTCTGAAGTGCAGTTGCTCACATTCATTTCCCATACAGACACTTCATTCTCCTTGTGTCAGGCCTTGGGTAAACCTGGCTTTGCTCTCAGGCTTAGCACAACATAAACATGCCCACTTTACTGATTTTTGTAATAGCTTGCAATTCAATCCCATCAAACTCACCTGAGCTCTAAAGGCTACTGCTTAGTTCAGCATCCTCTGATCCTAAGAAACCACTGTGGGGTGAGATTCTTCTGAGCCAGCTGAGAATGTGCATGGTATTTTGCTGCTTGCTGAGATTCTACTTCTGAGACAATTTTCGAAGACAGTAATATACGCTGGATCACATCCAGATACATGTCTGTCTCCTTTGCCACAGAAGAGGGAGATTTTTTGGCCGGATGCTGAGCTGATGCTAACCCAGCCTCACTGCAACGCGGAAGGGACCTGCTTCAGAAACCAGTACAATGATTGATCAAATGGCCACTAATGACCACCTTGATGCATTTCTAACCTGGAAAAAAAGCATGAATTTGTGCTGTTGTTCACATTGATATGCAATTTCAAAGCCTTTTAGCACCTTAAAATAGGCACGTGATTTGCTATCTGCAGAGACAGGCAGCTTATATTGCATCCAGTTCATTGTAAATGCTGGAAGAGCGCACAGGGCTGGGTCTGTGCTTTTAAGTTAATTGGATAGGAATGCAATACTTGGCCGACTTTGTTATGCTGGTAAAAACACTAGTGGAGACGCAGAGAGCCTAATCTAAAAGGGCTTCTACTGTGACAGCTTATTACAGTTCCTAAACCTGGATAAGCCACATCACTGTAAGCATTTTATATCACTAAGCTTTCTTTCTATATGAACATACTTAAAGCGGCAACATTTGTAAGGACAGACAAAGCTGCTGTACATTCTGTCATGGAGACTTCCTTTTTGCTCTCTGCTAGAATGACTGACTCTTTTATTGGGGGGGGGAAAAAGGTGTTATTAAGGTAAAATCTAGAGATGGAAAATAACATTTTTTCTGATCACATGGGAGATTATCAGTTACACTGAACAGATCTAAGCCTTTTAACGTGATGTACAATTCACATAATATTATACAAGCGTTTCTGAAAACTTGTACCTGGTGACACCTGAAGAACCATAAAAACTGACACCTTCTCCTTTTCCACATAAAATTAATTACCAGTAAACCGTTCTTACTTTACAAAAGCTTTTGCATACACCTTCTAGATCTGCCTGGTTGCCTCTTTAAATCATTTTCTGAAGACTCCTCCTGTTGTCAACTTATCAGATACAAAACCTTCCCAGGAATTTCAGGGAAGCAGGACTAAACTGGCAAAAACTAACAACTTCTTTTATACTGATTTACTAGAGCACATGTCCGTTACTTGGAAAGAGAAAAGTACTGGTCCATTGGGATAACCAAAAAACAATTGCTCCTTGCCCCCAAAATAGCTCAAAATAGCTCACAAGGCTAACCCTGACTGATTCTCTCTTTCCGTCTCTAAAATTTGATTTCTTTGGAAATGGCAGCAGACTTGCTGTTTTACTTCCAGCCAAGTTATACAAAGTCTGCAAGTATCAGAAACATACCATGACTTCCATGAAGCTTAAAACATTCTCCCATCTTTTATATCCAAGGAACAGACCTGCTGACAGCAACAGTATTAGTCTAGACTGCAAAGACTTAAAATGCTATGCTTTTTCATCAGTGCTTGGGCCACTGTTGCAGGGGAATGAAGCCTTGAATATCATAAAATAGCTGTCTCTTCAAATACAAATAAGGAGCTAGCACAACAGGGCAGAGGATTGAAAGGGGAGGTTAATTTTACAGAGCTTCACTACAGGGCCAGCAGTAGAAGGAAAAGGCAGGCAGCAGGGAAGGAATGGTTTTAAAATAAATAACGGGGAGATGTAAAATGTAATAAACTGGTGGGGGGGGGGTGTCATACTTCACTTTTTACAGGGAAGCACGTTTTGCCCATCAACTTACCACTGGATTCTGGTGTTCTAAAAGACATGACACACACAAGACGTTTGCAGCTCCAAAGCAAACCTTCAGAACACTGCTTTACTTTCTTCTCTGCTTCTGGACTATCTCAGAGGTTAAACAACACCCTGGGGATAAGGTTAGTGCAGTCCCTGAGACCACCTCACCATGCAGATGGGCTGTTTGCAGGGTGTAAAACAGGCCAGCATCTCCAGAGGGTTCATAATTACACAGCTGCTCCCCAGTGCCGGAGGATTTTGAGGTAGATTTAAGGTTACATCCAAACAACCAAATTAGCTTAACTTTTTATAGAAACAGACTTTTGGCAGGCTAGACCTCCGGCAAAATGCTGTGACCACGAGCAGTGCAGCTCAGCTGTTCTTTACCAACACAACACAGAACACTACCAGTCCTTCCCGAGTGTGGCTTGGCTACATAGATTTTCCCAGCTGCTGATTTAGACTGTATAGATCAGGGCCTTTCTTTGGTTCTGGGTCTGTACAGTGCCTGGTCCAGAGAAGTTCTTGTTGGTGCCTGGTCGTCCTTCTTTGACCACTGAAAGAAGAATCACTCTGAAAGAAATGTTTTCCTCTCTCTCTATTTTAGGAGTACCCTTTCGAAGAAGAGCTTTTAAAAGGATTGCAAGAACTTCCTAAATCACTTCTGACAAAAGCCTCCTGTGTGCATTGGTGGCTTTCACAGTGCTAAGCCATTGCACCAAGGGCAAAAGCAGCCCCTATGTGAATACATTCGAGCCCTTGACAACATCCTCAGGGCAGCTCACCCCTCTCACAGCAGATTACGTGATACAGTCCGTCCTGCTCGGGGAGCTCTGGGGGGTGAACAGAGCATGATATACCCAACTCCCAGCAGCTACACAGACCTGCAGTTTCTCTCTGGCTCTGAATGAAAGCAGTCACCCAGGATGTAAGCAATAGCACCATGGCAGGCATGTGGAGACACACCTGTACAGCTTAGCCCCCAGAAAAGTCTGCACCTTTACACAGGGCAGACTTTGGCTCATTTCTACAGCTGCAAGCACCCCCACTTCAGGCAACATTAAATAATGCTAGAATACTCTATTCCTATCAGACTTTCAGTAGAGCAATTCTTAGCCAACAACGTGTAGTCGGTGAATGAGAAGAGTGGTTCATGATGTGAAAGCACAGAACACCCTCTTTCTTTAGCAAATAGGGCATGAAAAACAAAGGGAATGTTTTTACTCTTTGAGTTGCCTGAGGATTTACAAGAGGTAATAGCTACATGAAAGGCCTGGGAACAAAAGCTACATGCCACTATAAAAAAGTTATAGAAGAAGCACACCCTGTTCAGCCAGTCAACAACCTGAAAGCATCTATTAGTAAACCCTAAACTACCATCTACTCTTCACAACAACCTTGCAAGGAAGAGTAGTTTCTCTGCCTGTAAAATAACGTTAAGATCTCTAAGAGGCAATAATGGTCAAAGCTGTAGAACAAGTTGTTGGATCAGCCTCCAAAAAACATCCAATGCCCAACACTTGGCCAATTTACACTGGCAATGCTGACTCACTCAATGATACACATATGACTTAAGCAAGAACAGCATCAAAAGAAGGAAACCGAATTTCTCATTATAATTAAAGAATCTTTATTTTATAAAACATAATACAAAGCATCTACACCATTCGCTGGTGAAACATTAGTTGCTATTACACAGTAATTCAAACACAAGTTAGTATTTCACACTAGTTCTGCAGTTTACTTTTACAACTTGCTCTCGTCACCATGGACTAGCTTGAGGACAGGGGTCCCACATCATGTGCTCCACTCAGCCGGAAAGTTTTAGTTCCTATCCCCGGGTCTGTGATTCTGTGCTGGGGCCCACTCTCCACACTACAAGGCCTTGCTCTGAGACACTGCTGCTACCTCCACCTCACAGAGCCATCCGTAATTGCTCTTTTGTTTTCTCGTGCCTTTGTTTATCATCTAAAGCCTCAACACTGATCACAGAGCTCTGCTTCTCCCAACCAAGTTCCCCCCACTTCAAAGAAAGGGGCCCCTCAGCCATTAAGTGCATTATCTTCCAAAACACACTCACACAAGGTGCCGTGTTTCACACATACCTGCAGTCATTTCAACTGGCATCCTTCTTCTCTATGCCTACTTGGGCAGGCTGCGCACAGAAGAGCTGTAACCATGCATTCAGCTGCTGACCGACCTTGCCAGAGGTCAGAGTCCAAACCATCAGGATTTCTCCGGAAACCCTTCTTGATGGGCAAGTCAACAACTGCGCTGAGAAATGAACAGGTTCAGCTTTCTGCTACATGTCCTCAGGACCGGCTGCTGAAAACTCTCCCCGCAACCATCTCACTTCTTATTCCCTGGTCACGTTTGGCTGCTGAAGCTCTTCTGGCTCCAAATTTACTGCAGTGCTTCCTTGAGAAAACCCACCAGACCGCCTTGCTTTAACTTGGGAGTCTGGTTATGAGGTGGCAGGGCTGACCCTTACATATATGTCTAGCTTACTCCTTTTGACTCCTGCCTGTTAAGTAGCACTACAAAGCCTCTTGGACTCGTGCATTTGTGAGGCAAACCAGACGCTGGGAAGCGCTATGTTCAGGTTAGAAAGTACTGCTTATGGGTCATAGTGAGAAGTGCTTTACTCAAAGCAACAGCATTTTACTTTTACACAGCACAGCTTGACAGAAACCACCAAGCGTTTATCAAAGGTGGCTTAGTGCTAACAAACAAAAACACCCCATGAGGTAGCTAAATACTGTACCCACTTAATAAGGTGGGTAAGCTGAGGCAAAAAGGTTCCTTGACACACCCCACATCTGCAGCAGTGCTGCGAAAGAACCAGCAAGTCCCAGCTAGCCCTTCTTGTCTCCCCTCAAGGCTCAACAGTTACATCGCTGCACTGTGCTAAATGAGTCAAGTTTCTTTTTAAAGGATCAGCTCACCTGTCAGTTGGCTCTGCTAGTGTGAAGCCCTTTGGGCTCTTCAGGTCTTTGGTTGCAACAGGCAAGGCTCTCAGCAGAACTGGAACGGGGGTGCTGAGGCTCAGAATTAATGATCATAGCTTCAGCAGCAATAGCAAAGTAACAGTGCTAAAGAACATACAGTGAAATAAACAACAGCAGCTGCAAATCGGGGACAATTTTTCCCTGCTAAGGGGACTGAAGTAACACTTAGCTTTTCTCCCAGTCAGGTTCACTTCTCTGCACTTCTTTACTCAGCAGGCTGTAAGGTAATTCCCTCTTAACCCATAAATCTTCACTTTATGAAGTGACGCAAATCCATTCAGGGAGACGGAAATGAATTCAGAGACGAGGGGTCAATACATAATTCAGATGCAGGAGAGCCAAAGTTAGGTCTCTAGCTTGAACGGGGCAGAGGAAGGACTGGAAAACGGGTAGCCCTTCCACCCTAACACCATGTTTTCAAGATGCATGTTGGCCACTCTTCAAGCAGAAATCCCAACTTGGATCTGAGGAAACATTCTCGTTGAAACTGGTATCTACAGTGCTGAGAAAAACCAACAATGCTAGTTTCTAACAAGCTGTTTTTTCCAATCATTTTTTCTCATAGAGACCCCAGATTTCACCTACAGTCCTCCACTATTCCCAGCAAGCCCTGGGGCAGACCCTGTATTCAGATACACTGATCTGAATCTGGAACGACACTTTCAAGACAACAGAAATATATGGCCTTTACTACAAATCAGATTCTGGTCCGTGTTCCCTTTAGGTTGCCAAAAACGGCAAATACAGATTGCTTGCAGATTGCTGCAGTAAAACGCTCTGCATTTACTACTCTCATTTTTAAAAGCAACTCGCAGCTTGGGGAAGGTATTTGTCTGACAATCTCAAGTCACGTCATTTGCTGAGAAGCTTGCCCCACACTACGCCTGCATTTGGGCCGATAAACACAGCAGAGGGCAATTCTTCAGCATTCTGCAAGCACATCAGCGCTTAGCCCGTATTTGAGGCCTATCAACCAGAGAATGACTTACTGGCAAGTCCTGATGGGGCTTCGCATAATGGAGAGCGCTGGTCCCTCAAGGAGCTAAGGGTAGTATTTGGAGGGGGTGGAGAGGGTTTTAATTGTCGGGGATGAAGAAAAGGGAAAAAGTCGAAAAAGCGCTTCATGTTAAGGGCTGTGTCTTTGGGTGGATTCATATAGCACCTAGTCCTGCAAGGTGCCAATGCTGATTAGAGCCTCTGGGCACTACCAAAAATAATTTACCAATAAGTTATTAAATAAGTTATTAAAAGCAATTAGAAAGGGTAGGAAACAAAGGCCTACCTAAAATTCTGTCCTTTCTACAGTCACATTCTAGCTCAACCACCAAAATTATTTCTCCCAAAGGAAACAGAGGGATAATGAACAAAGTGCAGACAACCACCATCACTTTGCATTAATATAGCACCTCTCAAGTAAAGATTTGAAAGTGCATAACACAGATGGATCGGCTCCATCATCCCCAATTCACATATGGGGAAACTAGGCACAGAGTTAGAGAGTTAAGTGACTTGCCCAAGGTCACATAGCAAATTGGTGGAAGAGCCAGGAATCCCAACTCCTACTTCTGCCCGACTCACATGAAACACTAGAACATGTTTCTTCCTAAGAGCATAAACGGTCACTCTCGCTGTCTAGACTGCACCGTACGACGAACGTCAAAAGACCCAGTGTTATTTTTCTCACCTTTTCCAAGATTGTACCAGTGCTGAAGGAGTTAGCTACTAATACTGCTATTTACACCTGCACTGCTGACCTAGCTATGTTTAGTCCATAAAATTAGCCCTTCTTTCACTAATATCATTTAGTTTACGCTTATATACACACTCAGCCAGCCTCTGCCAGGCCAAACACTGCAGATCCAATCAATCCATGGCATAGCTCCACGGGTTTCAATGGAGTTACGCCAGAGAGAAATTTGGCTCCAGAATTGCTAATGTGCATTGACTCCTTTCCCGACAGTGGCATTTCAGGCATGATCCCCTTCTTGCCAGATTGTGAACTCAAGGAAGACTGTACTCAATACCCAGTCAGTGATTTTTCAGATGTCCATTAGTTTTCAAGTACAACTCCTCACTCCTCCGGCTTCTCCAAGCATGGTACTTCTTCATGCTCTTCCTCCTAGCGAAGCGACAGATGCTGACCATGAAAACCCAGGAGACAGCATACATGATCACACCACCCAACTTAATGTACCACCTGGGTTTGGGAGAGGCAAGCTCACAGTACATCAGCCAGGCCCCCACTCCAATTCGCACCCCAGTGAAGAGCACCACGAAGAAGAAATCCACCAGGTCACCTGTGAGGCTATGGTAACACCCCATCTCCCTCAGGAACCAGCGGGCCTGCAACAGCGGGTTAGTGATCTCACTGCCAAAGATGACGGCGTTGACCTCAGCAGCTGATTCCCCAAGTGCTAATGACGCTGTGATGCCCAAGATGCTCACCAGATGGTGGGCCAGCATCAGGGCACCCTCCGTCTGAAAGTACACACACCAACAAAGGTCGAAGAGGAAGTAGCCCAAGCTAAGGCACAGCACATGCACCTGAAGAGCTGTGTTTGGAGATCCTGAAAACAGAAAGACACCAGCCAGAGCTTTAAAGCACAGAAGCAACAAGCAGGCAGGATCTGAGACAGGAAAGTGGTATTCACCTCCAGCACTGACAGGCTGATATTATCTTGTAGGGATCACAGCTCAGCTGGAGAAGCCAGAGGAGTCACAGTACTGTATTTGTCAGTCTAACAGCTGCTCACACGTAATGCTCACACAGTGTGATGACACGCTGTACTGGATTGCAGTTGGGGAGGATCATTACACTAGCAAAATACAGTACCAGTCTCTTCATTTCTCTAATACTTTCCATCACAAAGAATCCCACAAACCATTGCAGTCAATGTTTCTCAAGTGGGTGGGCTACCAGGGTGGTGGGATAATCCCACTTTGTGCCATCGGATCACCCACTGGGGACTCGGGACCACAACTTCCATCACATACCTGCGTGAGTCAAAGGCCAGGGACCATCAATAAAGCCAATGTAAGCAGAGAGGCAGGTAGCAAGGATGCCATGGGTCAGGGTGACCAGCCGGCAGCTCCATTCGTAATTCCGGTGCTTGTAGCGATGGCAGAACCAAGCGTAGAGAGATAGCCAGGCAATCAGGCTGCAGGCTACCCGCAGAGGCAGGGGGAACAGCATCCTGACAGAGGAACGGAAGGAAGAAACGGATCAGAAAGTCTAGGCTTTTGACAGTGTTAGCGCAACCCAGTAAAGCATTTCGCCAGTAACCACCCCAGCGCAGCAGACAGCACTATTTACTGACGGTGCTACTTGCTCCTGACAATTTTATCCAAAGGCACCCATTATTGTAACCTGGGAGCAGGTGACACACTCTTCCCAGAGGCTCACAATCTCCCCTCCAGTCTCTTAGATATTAAACCAATGCAAGCAGAGAGTTCACAGTACAAATGTTAACTCCCACGCAGCAATTTTGATCCAAATCACTTCTCACAGGAGAGCCAACATCAGCAGTTTCTCATGGGGACACTGTGGCACAAGGCAGTGACATGACTGTCTGAGCTCATACAATGACTCAGTGGAAGAGCTTACGGTAGCTTCCCAGAATCCCCATTCTGTCAGCCGCAACAGGATAAATGGTGCTGGGAAGTATGATTCCTCTGAGGAAAGGCCTACACCAAAAAAGCATATCCTTGAGAATCAGGCCAGATTTACTAGTAGCCACTGGCGCGCAGCCCCCACCGATGTCACCTCCACCACGGGAAGACACATTGAAAGCAACGATCTTGTAAGACAATGAGTTCTTAGCTTTGTTGAGCAGAAAACAGACCAGGACTTGGGAATGCACCTCTGAGGACTTCCCCAACCAGGCTATGATGCAGAGATCTTCTAGGATATGTTAGCGCTCATCTGCACTGCCTAAGGGACAGGCTGATGAGCTTCACTACTACCAACAAGGCTTTGATCCAGAGCTATTCCTGCCCCTTGATTTTTCTTCCCTGCACACACATCCTGCATTTCAGTGGTCTGCCTGTGTTGCCCCACCTGTTCATCCTGCCATGCTGTTTGCTAGCTTGATTCTTCTTCTCCGCCCCAAAACCCCACCACCCTCTTGCTAGGTTCACTGCTCATCCACCTTCCTAGTGCTGCCACACCATTTGCAAACGGGTGACAAGAAACACAAAAGCATTGCTACCGCCTCCTGCTACTGAATTTTAACCTTCTAGCACTAACCCACTTCCAGGTCAGTTTGGAAAAAAATCTGCTGGAAAATCCCCTTGTCTTCCCAGGGAAAACTTCCAGCAGTAACAACATATAGTTCAAGCTGCTTCTTTAGAGCACGGGGACAAAGCTCAGGTTAGAACAAAGCCTCTCCCAGCAAACGGTGATGGAATAAATTGGCACACCTCCTGAGGGAGCAGCCAAGCGCTCATCCAGCCTGTCCCTTTCCTAGCCCTGGCTGCATTCTCCAAGGGTCTCTTGGCCTTCCTCACAACTCCACCGTGCTAGGTGCTGCACACGCTCCCTCCTCAGCAGCTTGCACTCAAAGGATGTACAGGAAACGACCAGCAGAGGGAGAGGAGTAAGATCAGGCAGAAATCAATTCAGCAGGTATAGGCACATATTCCTCCTCCCCTGTTTAACTGTCCTCACTGCAGATTTCACCAAGATCTCCAAATCTTTGATGCAAAAGGATTAGGAGCTATGCCCCTAAAGATTTTTTTAGGCAGAGCACGGCATAAGGAGGGTGAACAAGAAAACCTCTCAAGGCCCTTCCAGCCTCACTCCGACAAGCTGCCAGGACAATTCTGGGGCCGCTCTGCAGGTCAAGCTGCAAAAAGGAAGTTACTGACATTGCTCAAGACAAGTGCCCTCTAATGCTTCCAGACTGTCCCTCTGCCCATCGGCCTGACAGTCACTCCGCGGACTCCTGCACGATGTGCACTAGCTGCACCTGCCCTAACATGCTGAATGAAAGGATATGTTTTTAGCAGTAGGAAAATTTCCTGTACACATGCTTCCTCCTTGTGCAATACAGAATCTTTCAAACATGCAAAAGAATTGGATATGTTACCAGAGCAAAATTGCAATGCATAAATGTCTGCAGAGCACACTGCTTTTGTTGCTACCCCCCCCCCAAAATATAATAATGCTACACCTACAGCTCACTCATATTTATAACACCTCTCTCTGTCTCATTATTGCTAAATGTTCAGGAAAGTGCATCAGAAGAAGCTGAGCCACGCTCTGGGGTGCACAGATTTCCAGCTGTAGAATATTAAAAGTGCCACTGGTCCTGCTGGTATCTGCTGACCACCCCACTGGATTCGTGCCCAGGGCTGGGGAACACCGACAGGGCCACACGTGATGAGGAGTCAGAGACGCAATTCCCAACCTTCCTGTTTGCCCTGTTTCACGTAGCACAAGGCATGACTGAGGCGGCTGGATAAACAAAACCATTATGTTATAATGGGCCTAGGGAACATGGAGAGATGAAATAAGGATGTGTTTAACTGTTCTGATCTGATGTTTCCATTGGCATCTCCGGTACACAAGGCCCTGCCTCACGCAGAAAGGAGGTGGGTAAGGCAGAAGGAATCTGGATGAGACAGGAGGGACTGACCAGCTGGAGATGCCTGGCAGAGGGATACCTGACCACTCCAAGAGCTGGAATGATCTTTTCAACGTTTCAAAACGTTTTCCTCACCTATTCGCACAAAAGATTTCTCCCTATCCCTTGGAAAGGGAGAAGGGAGGTATCCTCCAAACGCACATCCAAGCTTAACGTTTGCTATTAATACATACAGTATATACTGCATCCGTGAATTACGCCCATCCCGATGCACTAGGGAGGGTGATACCCTTCAGAAACGGCAACAATTACGTTATTACTCGCATTTCCCGTGACAGCAGGGTCACGAGCGCCGGTGCCCTCTGCAATAACTGCATGCCTCGGCAGCCCGAATCCCAGATCAGCCCAGCCCTCCCGGGAAGACCTTAAAAACTAAGATGGGCAGCCCATTTCCCAGGACTGTCGTTTCCCGATTGGAGCGGGAAGGAGAGGCCGGAGAGTCTAAACGCCCCTGAAACCACAGACGCGCGGAGAAGAGCCCCGTCCCCCGCGCCGAG